TATATATATATAAAACATGCATTTTAATGATTGAATTGTATTTATGATTCATTTTGATTACGTGAAATTAGACACAAGCATATTCTGCAGTTTTTAAAAAGAAACCGCATTATAATTACTTTGAGCCTCTATTCTACCGTTTTATTTGAACACATTTCAAATATTATAATCTAAACTACATAATTACACCAGCAATCTGTATCCAGAGTAATATTAATGTAATTGTCAAATACCCACTAGAGGACAGTATTGAGCTACTAATGCCCAACCCCATGGTCACCACTAAATCTAATGCACAAATGGTCTTTTTTTTTTTCCATTTTCCAAACAACAATATTCCCACATATCAAGCACACAATACACATACACACACCGTTGTGCACCGTGCTTCTGTGTTACAAATTGCGTAACGCCAGCGGGTCGACTTTCCCTATTTGCGAGTAAAAAATCACCGGATTCCCTCAAGCAGTGCTGATTTCTTCCCAAGAAACGCTAATGAGAACAAATGTTTGACTCGGGCGCAAATCTGCTGACACTTCAGCTGCTTCCCGGCGGCTAACATCTTCTTTTAATTGATTCGCGTAACACAAATTGCCCAAGTGACCCACAGTAACCCAGAAAGCAATGCATGCACCATCAGTGGTGTGTTGTCATAACAAGACAAATAAATGTGGATGTGGAATTAGTACGTGACTTTTTAAACTTTAGCTATGGTTTTTGTTTTATACCGAAAAGTATCAGGGCCAAACCAAAAAAAAAAAAAATATGTTGGAGGGTGAAGAGATGAAGAGGTCATATACACACAAATACATTAAACTGTTTATATTAGCTTAGCATTTATGCTAAGTCCGGTGCATTTACACTGTTTATTCTTGGATTGATTAATGTGCACTGTCTCAATGAAATAAATAAACAAATAAAAAATTCAAAAACTGTTCATATTAAGTCCAATTTAACATCCACAGTTAACCCTTTCAGGGACAGTGGTTACTACAGTGGACAGCTTATCTTGTTATCAGGTTACAGGGTGCAGGAAAGTGTTAGTGTGACCTGTACAATTACTGGGAATGGGTCTGTGTTCAGAATTAAACCAATCAAATTCCTACTCAGTGACTGTTTAGCGCGTCAGCCTTGCATTGCAGAGGTGCAGGGTTCGATTCCAGCTCCGGCCTTCCTGTGTGGAGTTTTTTTTTTTTTTTTTATTATGTTGTCCCCCCTGCCCGCGTGGGTTTTCTCTGGGTATTCTGGTTTCCTCCTACATTCTAAAGACATGCGTGGCAGGTTAACGGAACACTCTAAATTAGGGGTGGCCAACCAGTCAGAGACTCAGAGCCAATTTTTTCTACTGTGTTACTGCAAAGAGTCACATCGCGCACATGCATGCGCGTGCGCATACACACACACACACACACACACACACACACACACACACACACACACACACACACACACACACACACACGCAGGCACACACAGACACCGAGATGAGAGAGAGCCGGAACTTCACAGAACACGAACGAAATTGAAACACACAGACATACCCACCTCCACCCCCCATTTGTTCCTCCCAACGCTCACGCTCGACTTGGGACCAGTCCGCTGTCTCCGGGTCGATCGCGATTGACGTATTGGGCACCCCTCCCTTTAAAGCTAATGAGCTTAGCGCTTAGCGCTGACCACCGTTGTTTGCGCATAGCGGTGAGACAGTTATCATCTGATTGGTTGCCCTGTATGTCAATCAAGTAACGGGATTGATGATAGGCTGACGTAGTTAGTTCTGTGTATTTAGCGCCATTGTTTGAATGGCAGAGCCAATGACGAGGAGTTTTCGATGCTTGTCACGTGAAAGCCCGGGAGCCGCATTGAACCAGCCAAAGAGCCGCATGCGGCTCGTGAGCCGCGGGTTGGCCACCCCTGCTCTAAATTGTTCCTTGTGAGGATTAGCGGATCAGAAAATGGATGGATGGACATTCCGACTCATGTTAAATAAAAGTCAGGAAACACCTGCCACAATATAACGTGCCGCTTATCAACCCCAAATAACGTTCAGATGTTGTCGTTGGAATTTTACCCGCATTTTTTTGTCCTTCCATCTTGAAGCACAGGCCACAGTCGGCATCGGAGAGATCTCATCGTTTCGAGGGATCAGTCAGAAGAAGCATACAAAAAAAAAATATACATCAAGTAGGATTCCTCCAAAACTGATAAGAAGATGAGATGAAACGTGCTCGGGGGAACCAACATTGAAGGATCTGCAGTTATTTCAGGCAAGTAGTGCCTGTTAAGGACATGTGACAACAATCACCCATTGTCTTCATGTCTGGGCGACTCGGTAGGGTGGCAAGACAGAAGCCTTATCGAAGAAAGAAAAAACATCCAAGCCTGGCAACACTTTGTTTTTAAAATCTTACAAATGCATGTGTGGGAAACAGCATCACAGGGGCAGTCTCATTCTCTTGCAGTTTTTATTCTTCAGCTGCTAGTGGCACCTCAGTCAAGTTGGATGGAATGAGCAACAATTTCAAAGAAACTTGGCTTCTCTTCGACGTACTGTTTCAAGATCGTGATCTCTGTTGAGATGCATGACTTCAACGTACCACCTTGACAACGATTGTGACTTTGCTATCAGCTCGGATTTTGTGGCATTTTAGCACAGGAAAACAAAGAGCACAAAAATATGAAAATTGGTGTGTGTTTGGGGGAAGAGGGGGTCTCACATAAAAAAAAAAAAAAACAAAAAAAAAAACGAATACATTTATTTCCTTGATCATAAACTGTATTTTAGTATACAGTGTTTTAACTCTTTCAGGGAGATCGGTTACAGCAGTGGACAGTAAGGTGTATTTCACAACAAAAAATGACAACTCGACTACTCTGTGCCGTGCTTTGGCTCAGGGGTCGGGTGATGGAAGCCCAATCCAGAGGTTGGGTGTTCGATTCCCGGTAGTTGCAACAATGCCTGTTCTTTCTTTAACAACATGAACAGCTTATTTGAGCAATAACACTAACCACCATGAAAAGTGAGGCTTATTTGATGAAAAACACAAAACAACCCCGACAGTTCAGGCTTAATATACACCACTGGTGTCAAAGTCGAGGCCCAGGGGCCAGATCTGGCCCATCACACCATTTTATATGGCCCGCGAAAGCAAATCAAGCATGTCAAGTTCCATGATGCCTACTAAAGTCTGAACCAAAATTTCAAATTGTCATATGTAATCCACAATAACAGTCATTATTCTTGACTTCTGATTGTAAAACTAGTTATTGATCAATTTGTTGTGCGCTGTGTATGTAATATGTGGAGGGGATTAAACATTTATATGGTTTCCCAAAATTCATAACGGCCCTCCAAGGGAAACCGCAACTACAATGTGGCCCGTGACAAAAATGAGTTTGACACACAAAATTAACTACAATAACCTGCCCCGCCCCCCACCAAAAAAGCCTAACAATACATGGTCGTTTCTTTCGGCTGAAAATGCCTGACTATACATGGTCGCGTTTTTTTTTTTTTTGCGAAAAATGCCTTCCTATACATGGTCGGGTTGTTTTTGCTAAAAATGCCTTGCTATACATGATCGGGATTTTTGGGCGAAAAACGCCTTGCGATAAATCGTCGGGTTTTTTTCGGCTAAAAACGGCATGGTCATTTTTGA